AAACGCCACAACTTTTGTCTGAAACATTTTTTTGTAAAACTTATATTTTTCCTGATATTCGGGCGTCCCGGTACTTTCCGAACACCCTGTATATATGGATGTCCCAGAAGTACCCGATCTGATGTATAGATGGCGGTTATTGTTTGAAAAAAATCACTATGGCCGAAAGCATCAACCTTATAAAAGCTGAAGTTTGAAGTTTCAAAACGCTACGTTGTTTAGTATTAGTTTGGCAGCCATCAATAGTGAACGCTCTCAGTACATTTGTAAACATGGAAAAAATTGGTCATCGTTATGTGATACAATATTTTCATTTGAAAGGTCTCAGTCCAACCAATATCAAAACTGAGCAAGATTCTACTCTGGGGGAGTTTGCTCCCTCGTTTACAACAATAAAATATTGAGTGGCAGAGTTTAAAAGAGGCCGTAAGAGCTGCCAAGACGAACATCGCAGTGGTCGACCAAATGAGGTGACTACGCCAGAAATGGTGACGAAAATCCACAAAATGATATTGGATGACCGTCGACTGAAAGTGCGCGAGTTAGCTGACATGGTAGGCATATCAAAAAGTGCTGTACATCGCATATTGACTGAAAATTTGGACATGAAAAAGCTGTGCGCACGATGGGTGCCGCGTTTGCTCACAATTGAACAAAAACAGCGTCGTGAGGATGTTTCAATCGAGTGTTTGGCGATGTTTCGCAGTAATAAGGCCGAGTTTTTGCGTCGATTCATAACCATGGATGAAATATGGGTTCATTATTTCACACCTGAGACAAAAGAACAGTCGAAACAATGAACTGAAAGGGGAGAATTGGCTCCGAAAAGGGCGAAGACAACTCCATCGGCTGGCAAGGTTATGGCGTCAGGTTTTTGGGATATGCGTGGGATAATTTTCATTGATTATCTTCATAAAGGAAAAACAATCAACGGCGAGTATTATGCGAACTTATTGCAGCGTTTGAGTGATGAAATCAAGAAAAAACGTCCGCATTTGGCGAAAAAGAAAGTATATCAAACAATAAATTAAGGACCATTAGAGTTAACGCACAGGTTGTATAGTGCTATTATAAACTATTAAAACATAGTGACACCATCTCGCAATGAGGACAAATTTTATTAAAAATCATACGCGTTTCGGTCTCATTTCGCAGACCCTCTTTAGTGATAACAAGCAGTGGTATAGTGTCGCAAAAAATAAAAAATCGCAAAAGTCGGCGCTAACATTGGTTGTCATAAGATAGTCGCTACAAAATCTTTTGTCTACGGGACTCAGAGGCACAAACATAATATATCAATTACAACAATGAGTTGTTTCATTATTCAGAAGCTACCGGCAATTCATTCAGAGACTGGTCACTCCATCGCACGTACTAAGATGCTGTGGTATGATCATCTAAAAAACGTATTCAGATAGAGCAACCAACCCCAATGTGAGGGAAAAGACAAAATAATGATATATACCTCTTAATGGTCAGAAAGTTCCGGTGAGATGTTACGCCTATGAACGTGTACCTCCGAATGCCGCAAACAATACAGAATCAGTGTTTATATTTACTTCATAATCGCAAACGAAATATGATCTAAGTCAAACCGAGCAACATGTTGTAGCATTTTCCTAAATTCTCAGTGTCAGTGTGGGAATTCAGTCCATGCGTCTGCATTTTTATAAAAATCATCTCTGCAATCATTCTTTTATAAAATAGATGTTCTTTATGCAAAACTTTGACATTATCCCACTCAAATTCGTGGCCGCAATTAACACGGTGCTCTTGTACGACAGAGAGATGCGAAGTAAAGTCTCGAGGTAGTCGTTTATGTTCAGATACACGAGTGGAGAGCCTTCTGCTCGTCTGACCAACGTAAGACGAGTCACAATCCCCGCACTCCAACCTATACACAACGTTATTCAGAAGATTCAGAGGCAAAACGTCCTTATGGACACGGACTAGACTAGAAAGCTTGTTCATAATACTAAAACATGAAACCTTATTAAATTCTTTAAAAATCTTACTGATTCTATCTGAAATCATTCCCAAATAAGGAAAAATAGTAAA